GATGATGATGCTGAGGATGATGATGACGACGATGCTGATGATGATTTTCACACCCGAGCCTGACACGAGCTGCCTTGACCCAGCTGCGAGTTGGAGACATCACGTTGAGCGGTGGCCTTGGGCAGGACACACGTCGCGAGATGAGATGGCCGCGATAGCTCGCGAAGGCATTCACCCAGTAGTGTGTAGACCATGAATGACGATGATGGACTGTGCATCGATCTTCAGATTATGCAGTATACGATTATTGTTCTTATGATACATCTGGTTTGATAGCGCGTGTTAGAGAAGATAATGTATGGTTCGTCTTCGATTGTCTGATCCATTCGAGCGCTCCCTCCCTCGCTCGCTCACCACTCACTTGCTCACTCACTCAATCACCACTCACATTCTCACTCACTCGCTCACTCACTCAATCACCAGCTCACCACTCACATGCTCACTCACTCGCTCACTCAATCAATCACCAGCTCACCAGTCACATGCTCACTTACTCGCTCACTCACTCAATCACCAGCTCACCAGTCACATTCTCACTCACTCGCTCACTCACGCAAACACCAGCTCACCACTCACATTCTCACTCACTCGCTCACTCACTCAATCACCAGCTCACCACTCACATGCTCACTCACTCGCTCACTCACTCAATCACCAGCTCACCACTCAGATTCTCACTCACTCGCTCACTCACTCAATCACCAGCTCACCACTTACATGCTCACTCACTCAATCACCAGCTCACAACCCACATGCTCACTCACTCACTCAATCACCAGCTCACCACTCACATGCTCACTCACTCAATCACCAGCTCACCACTCACATGCTCACTCACTCGCTCACTCACTCAATCACCAGCTCACCACTCACATGCTCACTCGCTCACTCACTCAACCACCACTCACATGCTCACTCATTCACTCGCTCACTCAATCACCACTGGCATGCTCACTCACTCGCTCACTCACTCAATCACCAGCTCACCACTCACATGCTCACTCACTCGTTCACTCATTCAATCACCAGCTTAGCACTCACATGCTCACTCACTCGCTCACTCATTCAATCACCAGCTCACCACTCACATGCTCACTTACTCGCTCACTCACTCAATCACCAGCTCACCAGTCACATTCTCACTCACTCGCTCACTCACTCAACCACCAGCTCACCACTCACATTCTCACTCACTCGCTCACTCAATCACCAGCTCACCAGTCACATGCTCACTCACTCGCTCACTCACTCAATCACCAGCTCACCACTCACATGCTCACTCACTCGCTCACTCACTCAATCACCAGCTCACCACTCAGATTCTCACTCACTCGCTCACTCAATCACTAGCTCACCACTCACATGCTCACTCGCTCACTCGCTCACTCAATCACCAGCTCACCACTCACATGCTCACTCACTCAATCACCAGCTCACAACCCACATGCTCACTCACTCACTCAATCACCAGCTCACCACTCACATGCTCACTCACTCAATCACCAGCTCACCACTCACATGCTCACTCACTCGCTCACTCACTCAATCACCAGCTCACCACTCACATGCTCACTCGCTCACTCACTCAACCACCACTCACATGCTCACTCATTCACTCGCTCACTCAATCACCACTCGCATGCTCACTTACTCGCTCACTCACTCAATCACCAGCTCACCACTCACATGCTCACTAACTCGTTCACTCATTCAATCACCAGCTTAGCACTCACATGCTCACTCACTCGCTCACTCATTCAATCACCAGCTCACCACTCACATGCTCACTCACTCGCTCACTCACTCAACCACCAGCTCACCACTCACATGCTCACTCACTCACTCGCTCACTCAATCACCACTCGCATGCTCACTCACTCGCTCACTCAATCACCAGCTCACCACTCACATGCTCACTCACTCGTTCACTCATTCAATCACCAGCTTAGCACTCACATGCTCACTCACTCGCTCACTCACTCAATCACCAGCTCACCACTCACATGCTCACTTACTCGCGCACTCAATCACCAACTCACCACTCACATGCTCACTCACTCGCTCACTCACTCACCAGCTCACCACTCACATGCTCACTCACCCGCGACGTCATCACGTGCTCACCACTCACATGCTCACACACCCGCGACGTCATCACGTGCTCATATGAATCAGCATGAATCCGTGTCGCGGGTATTAAAAGTAAACCGACGAGCGCGTGGATGCGGGAGGGGAAAGTTTCCGAGAAAGCGCTCCCCACCCCCTGCAGAGAGGGAACCCCGTCCCTGTCATAGAGCGCGAGTGTGCATGTGTGCGCGTGTGTGTGGCATGTGTGTGCGTGTGAGTGCGTGTGTGTGCGTGTGTGTGAGTGCCTGTGTGTGCATGTGTGTGCGTGTGTGTGTGAGTGCGTGTGAGTGCGTGTGTGTGCATGTGTGTGCGTGTGAGTGCGTGTGTGTGAGTGCGTGTGTGTGCATGTGTGTGCGTGTGAATGTGTGTGTGAATGTGTGTGAGTGTGTGCGTGAGTGTGTACGTGTGTGTGCGCGTGTGAGTGTGCGTGAGTGTGTATGTCCCGGGCCTCCCCTAGGTCGACTCAGCCTCAAATGAGTACCTGGTGCGGTGTGTAAATATCGCCACTAGGGAGACAATGGCGGTCGGGCGTGGTGCTGGCCATGTGTCCCCACGTGTGTCGTGCCGACCTTCATAGGTGCTCGCTAACAGCAATTGCCCCAACAGTCTGTTAGGACTATATGGGAGATCTTTGTGTTTGTGTGTGTGGGGAAGTGCGGTGGGATTAATGCGAGTCCCATGGCCCCCCTTCCCCCCCTGCTGCCCCCCACCCCCAACCAAGGGCCACAGAGCCGGGATCAAACCAGGGCAAGGCGCGCCAGAGAAAGGCCGCTTTGAGTGAACTCAACAAAGAGCGCGGAGCAACGAATAAGAAGCCTCGAGCGCGCGTGTGTATGTGCCTGTCTGTGTGTGTATGTGCCTGTCTGTGTGTGTGTGCGCGCAGGTCTCTGTGTGTGCAGATATGTGTGTGCAGGTCTCTGTGTCTGTGTGGAGATATGTGTGTGTGCAGATATGTGTGTGTGTGCCGGTTTGTGTGTGTGCCGGTTTGTGTGTGTGCCGGTCTGTGTGTGTGCCGGTCTGTGTGTGTGCCGGTCTGTGTGTGTGTGCAGATATGTGTGTGTGTGCAGGTGTGTGTGCAGGTGTGTGTGTCTCTGTGTATGTGCCTGTCTGTGTATGTGCAGATATGTGTGTGTGTGCCTGTCTGTGTGTGTGCCGGTCTGTGTGTGTGCAGGTCTCTGTGTGTGTGCAGGTCTGTGTGTGTGCCGGTCTGTGTGTGTGCAGGTCTCTGTGTGTGTGCAGGTCTGTGTGTGTGCAGGTCTGTGTGTGTGTGCAGGTCTCTGTGTGTGTGCAGGTCTCTGTGTGTGTGCAGGTCTCTGTGTGTGTGCAGGTCTCTGTGTGTGTGCAGGTCTGTGTGTGTGCAGGTCTCTGTGTGTGTGCAGGTCTCTGTGTGTGTGCAGGTCTCTGTGTGTGTGCAGGTCTGTGTGTGTGCCGGTCTGTGTGTGTGCAGGTCTGTGTGTGTGTGCAGGTCTCTGTGTGTGTGCAGGTCTGTGTGTGTGTGCAGGTCTCTGTGTGTGTGCAGGTCTCTGTGTGTGTGCAGGTCTCTGTGTGTGTGCAGGTCTCTGTGTGTGTGCAGGTCTCTGTGTGTGCCGGTCTGTGTGTGTGCCGGTCTGTGTGTGTGCAGGTCTCTGTGTGTGTGCAGGTCTCTGTGTGTGTGCAGGTCTCTGTGTGTGTGCAGGTCTCTGTGTGTGTGCAGGTCTGTGTGTGTGCAGGTCTCTGTGTGTGTGCAGGTCTCTGTGTGTGTGCAGGTCTGTGTGTGTGCAGGTCTGTGTGTGCAGGTCTCTGTGTGTGCCTGTCTGTGTGTGTGCAGGTCTGTGTGTGTGTGCAGGTCTCTGTGTGTGTGCAGGTCTCTGTGTGTGTGCAGGTCTGTGTGTGTGTGCAGGTCTGTGTGTGTGCAGGTCTGTGTGCAGGTCTGTGTGTGTGTGCAGGTCTGTGCATGTGCGTGTGTGTGCCTGCGCAAGCCACATTGGGCTAAGTGCGAGGCGCCCCGCGCAAGGCGCTGCCATCTACAGAAGAAGCCGCACAAACAAGTCGTGAATCTCGCGACCTCGAGTCGGGAGCTATCCCGACAGCCAGACAGGAGCCGCGGACTCGGGGCGACGGTAAACGCCGCCGTACATGGGAGGGAGGGGAGCGAGGGGGTGAGCGAGGGGAGGGAGGGGGGTGAGCCAGGGGAGGGAGGGGAGCGAGGGAGGTGGCTCCCACGGGAGCGAGTGCAGTGTGTCTACGTGGGGAGCGATGGCGCAGTGCGCTGGAGTTCCGTTCACACAAGAATGATTATCTGAGATGAGGCAGCTCGCACCCAGTGGCGATGTATAAACATCGCCTATGGGAGGCGGCCGGTCGTGGTGTTTGCCAACAGCCACAGCAGTCTGTTTAAGGCTCTACGGGGGATAATTGCCCGGTTCATCCCTTCATCGCCTCGGCACGGCGCGTTCGCGCTGTCCTTGGCTGTGATGTTGCTGTCGTCGAGGGAGGGGTTTCCAAGAATGCCGGAGCGTGCCGCGCTGAGCTTCATGAACGCTCGAGCGCGCACGGCCAATGCGAGCGAGAGAGCGGAGTCCGCGTGGAGAGGACGCGGAATTCGGAGGGGGGGGGGGGGTTGGAGTGATGTGGGTCAGGGGGGGGGGGATAGAGAGGTAATGCGAGTGAGCAGTCATCTCACTCGACCGGACCGATACCACGAGGCGAGTTGAGACGTGACGAGGGCTCGGGCTTGGCGCAGTCACTCCTTGCTAACCCTCCATCGACCACTCACTCAACCACTCACTCAACCACCCACTCAACCACCCACTCAACCACCCACTCAACCACTCACTCAACCACTCACTCAACCACCCACTCAACCACCCACTCAACCACCCACTCAACCACCCACTCAACCACTCATTCACCCGACCACTCAATCGCCCGCTTATTCACTCATTAATTACCAACCACCATTCCCACCTCTTACTAACTCACTCGTCCAATCTCCTAACCACTCACTGACCCACCCGACCACTCATTCACTAAGCTACCTAAAGGCTCACCCACGCATCCAACTATCCATTGGACTACTACCTAATAATACACTCACCCAACCACCCAGTCATATACACAACCATTCACACAAACGTTCACTCGCGCCCAATCATTTACTCATCGACCCATCATCCCAACCACTCGCTCACCCAATCAACAAAACACTCAATGACTCCCCCACCAACCCAACCTGCCACTCATTGAACCATCATCCCAATCACTCACTGAGCCTGTCACCTACCCAACTACTCATTCATCGACTCAACCACTCACTCATCGACCCATCATCGCAACCGCTCACCCACCCAAGCACCCCCTCCATCCCTATCCCCTCCGCACTCGTGAAAGTGTCACCTCGTCCCCGCCCCCAAATCATTCAACAAAAACTCCCCTCCCCCCAACCTCCTGGCCTCCATCCATCCTCCTCCTCCCTTTTGCCCCCCCCTCCCAGCTCTTTCTCTGAACTCACAGTGGGAGTTTGCAGGCATCACGGGGGAGGAAGGAGACAGACGGACGGACGCGGTAGCGGCTACGTCAGCCGCGGGGGCCTCTCTACCTGCAGAGGGAGAGCACGGGCGAGGGCGATTCCGCTGGGTGCTGCGTGCCCGCGATGGTTGTGGGGGCGGCGACTTCGGGGTGGAGGCGCGCGACAAATACCGTGGCCAGCGGCGCCCGCTCGCGTCCATCGTCGAAGGAGCTCTCGGCCAAATCGATGCTCTTATTAGGCAGGCCTCGTTAACGTTATTTTGTTGTTGTACATTTCTTATATATACAGGTGCAAGGTGGATTGAAAGCGACTGAATTTGGAAGTCGGCGACACAAGGACTGAAACTCCACTACTTATTGCCGGGCAAGACTGTTGGGGCGAGTGCTATTAGCGAGCACCTATTAAGGCAAGACAAAGGTCGACAAAGACACGCAGACTGCCGTTCCCTCGGTTGGAGACACTCGGAGAAGATCCAACTCGCTCCAAAACATCGTGTCCACCGCATGAAGGACGTGGAGCTGCCTCTACTCTCTCGTGGCAATGATGTCCGTAGCTGCCGCGTCCCCCGTCCTCCTCCTCGTCTCGTCCCTGTACCTCTCGGGGGGGTGCCTTGGGCTCTTTCAGGCCGAGCCGGGGCCGGCGGTGGCGGCCCCCGTGCCGCGCCACCACAGGGCCTCGTACAGCCTCTATGGAGGCGCGCATGGGCACGGAGCGGGCAGCAGCAGCAGCAGCAGCGGGAGCGGCAGGGTTAGAGGCAGGTGAGTGAGTGGCGATGCTGGTTTGGGGGCTAAAGAGGTGGTGAGTCGCGATGTGTGGTGGCTGCGCTCTGCCAACTCAAGACGAGCCGTGCTTCGAATCCCTCTCCCGGAGCGGCAGTTGAAGCAATGGAAGTTTTGTGTTGTTGCGTGTAATGGCCATAACCGACTCTATCCAGAATCAGAATATGTATTCATGCTGGAGGAATCCGATGAGCTATGAAGCTATTTTTCACAAATGTCTAGCGTATAGTCCACGGGCACAGCACAGCGATAGTCGAGCAGCAGGTCGCGTGCGGTGCGGGAAAGTGTGGGTTCACGCCAACCGGTAAAACAATTACCGGATCGTGTGCAGGTGCTGGGTGGATTGTTCCATCGCAACGTCGTGAGACGTGGCGAGATGCGATCTCCTTCGCCTGGTCGTGGGTTCGATCCTGACCGCTATATATTTGAGTTTTCGTGTTCTCTCCCCGTAGTCGCGTAGATTTCTTTTCGAGTCCTCCACATTTCGAGTCAACATTACGCTTTTAGAGTATTTGGCGGATGCTCTGAATTTTCACGTAATACGGCCACTTGGCTGAGCTATCATTTGTGGCCAGGTCGCGTCTACAGCGCAGTTGGCCTAACCTGGTAAATACATGAATAAGAATAGCAGTGATCATGGCTGATGAGAAGGTTGAGCTGTCATCTCGAGACAGATTCTGAGTGTCCGGCAGTACCAGCGAGGCCCCGTCAGATCCTCACAGTTACAAAGACAAAGATTCCCCGTGTAGCCTACAAACGCTGTTGGGGCAAGTGAAACGTGTCCATAACCCCTTCAGATGGAACATCTCGCTTGCAACGGTGTCCAGGGGTGTCCAGGGAGGCGTACCGAGTAACCACGTCCTCACCACGTGCACGCACGCACGCGCGTTTAGAGCGAAAACAGTTTCCTGGTGATGCTACTGTTGCGCTGGCCCCGGTGCACGGGCACAAGCAACAACAAAAACATCTCTACACTCGTCAGTAACAACAGCAACAACAGCAGTCTTTTGGCCTTAAATATATGTAAAATGCGACGTTTCGGGCAATGGTCCATCATCAGTTATGCGCTATGGATAAGGGTCATTGCCCGAAACGTCGCCTATTTTATATTTTCTCCTTTTCAGGCCACAGTGCTATGAATGTGTAGAGATGTTTATATTTAAGTGTTCAACGTAGAATTACGATGTCAACTCGTACCACTGCAACCGCCGTCCACACGCGGCACCCAATCATCGCTCTCGTGGAGAGGGAGAGAGAGGGAGGGAGAGAGGGAGAGAGAGGGAGAGAGGGTGGGACGACTCGGAGGCGCCAGGAGGAGGAAGCACGGACGAGGAGCGGGAAGGCAGCAGCAGCGCAGTGACGAGCCGCCGATACCAACAATTTCCCCCCAAGCTCTGCGGTCCTCTATGTACATAATGTTCATGCGGTTTCAGCCAATTAATGAGTACTGTATTTATACCTGTGGGAGGAATTCAGAGCGCCCAGAGAAAATACACGCCTTGCGCGAAGGGGCGACACTATCACATACAGAAGGGGCAGATTATATTATTATATTATTAATCCGCGCTTTGCTGTACCGCCACCTCCTGGCGAGTCAGGATATACCAATACCCGCCGCCATTCGCCACGACGTGACGGTGACGTCACCACGGCGCCTGTGCCAGGCCAGGTGCACTTTGAGGTCACGGTAGGTGTCGAATACTCGCTGAGAGGAGCTCTCGGGACAGACCCAGGTGCCATGGGTGGGCTGACTGAGATGACTGGTAGATGCACCACCTGTGTCCCCTACTGTGCCAATTTGCTATATTTTAGACACCCGGCGCTCCGCTCGTTGTTGTGAGCGTCGCTACTTTGCCCTCCGTTGTAACTGGAGGGCGACTACCTCCAACTGGCCAGTCGCGTCCTTCACGAGCCTCCTCCACAGAGGCCGATCTTGACACCGCTGGTACCAGTCGTCGGCTAGTCCACTCAGCTCCACATCCTCCTGTACCACATCAGTCCATCTCTTCTCCAGCCCATGGCGTGCCGATATTCTTTGGGTCTTTCGGTAAAGTCACGTAGATAGGTTCAAAGAAGATAACAAAAAAGCATAGAGTCGTGCCTGTTTAGCCTACTCTATGCGGCCAAACAGAAGCTGCTTGGTCATGGGCATGCGGGCTACATGACCCAGCCAACGCAGCCATGCCTGCCGGAGGAGCTCACTGATGGGAATGTGTCCAGATCTTTCAAGGATTAGTGAGCTCCTCACACAACCCAGCCTGGTTAAACCCAGGATTCATCGTAAGCAGGCCAGTCTGAATGTTTCTAACGGGGGAAGATGTTCCATTAGAGGGTGCACGTTTCACAAGCACAGAGAAGGAAGGGCATGCCTGTGGCCGAGAAGACCCAAAGTTTCGTGCGGAGCGACAGTCGAGGTAGCTACCACGCAGCATTACGCAGCCGATGAAAAAATCATGCAGCCTGACTGATTCAGAGTGAGACCACTGCTGCCAAATCGGAGCTGGTCATAAACACACTGCCCAGGTATGGGAAACTCTCCTCTCTCTCCACAACTGCTCCATCACCAATGGGTAGCTGAGGGGGTGGAATGTTTGGTGGCACAACATGCCCAGGCAGGTGCTTAGTTTTGGTGGGGCTGATGCTAAGACCCCACCTCTTAGTGGCACACTCCATGTTCAGCAGCAGCGCCTCCAATTCCTCCTACGAGTGAGTAGTAATCACCAGATCATAAACATACGTAACATGGTTGACCAATAGGGAGCCATCCGTCGACCGCCCCCGGGTATCGATCAGCCTTCCATTGTATCTGTACCAGATGAAAATTCCTCTGGTACAGCCATGGAAAGCTTCTCGAACTACGTTGTCAAAGATGATGTTTAATAATATGGGAGCCAGAGGATATCCGTGTCGCACCCAAAGGTAAACAGGAATGGCTCCGACTCCTGGCCACGTAGCTTTACCGGGGCCTGCCCACCATCATGATGACCCTTAATGATTGTGAGCCGAGTCAGGGACTCCAAAAGCACGAAGAACTGCCCACGACCCTGGCCTGTTGATAGTATCATAGGTCTTGACCAGGTCAATAAAGCAGAGATGAGGTCTTGTTGGGATTCCTTACACCTCTGCTATAGCAGACGGACAGAGAATATGGCATCCGTGCAGGACCACCCTGGTCTGAAACCACATTGGGGCTCTGAAAGCCTCTCCTCAGTGTGCCTGGCAAAGTAATGTTGTGTAATCCTTGCCAGGACCAATCCCGGCACATTGAGAAGAGAGATGCCCCTATAGTTGTTACAATATGTGCAGTCCCTCCTCTTTAATAGGGGGACCACCAGGGCATCCTTCGAATCCTGCGGAACCTGTCCTATGGTCCAGACAGTTGTGATGATGTTATGTAGGGCAGTCTGCACACAGATGCCGCCCTCTCTCAGCATTTCACTTGGGAGATTGTCTCTGCCCGGTAATTTTCCCTGGTTTCAGACTTCGGATCGCCCCTCGCATTTCCCCCACAGATGGCACCTCAGCCAACTATTCAGAAGGGGTGGCTACTTCTGCCAATATTCGAGACACTGCAGCCATAGCAGGGTCGTCCCCACCTTGCCCCACGATGTTGTCTAGGCTGAGGGAATTCCCCTCCCCCAAGACCTCACAAAAATGTTCAGCAAACCAGCAGACCTGCTCCTGGGGGTGAGAGATCGGCTTACCGTTCTTTCCCTTAAGGATGGTGATAGGTTAGGCGCTGAAAGTAACTTTTGTGATGGAAATAAATAGTGGTTTGTGATTGCGGGCTACTGACGCAGATTCCATCTCCTAAGCAACCCGCGCTCTCCACTCATCCTTGCAGCCCCGCACGGCTCTCAGAATCTTTGAGCGAAGGCTGCGGTAAACCTCCTCATTCTCCGAAGTTGGATGTTGTAGGCGACGAGAGTGGGCCTGTCGTTGTCTCTCAACCAGCCAGAACACGTCCTCCTTCAGCCAGGGTCTCTGGGGAGGTCTGGACCGCATACCCAATGTAGTCCTTGAAGCTGCATGAGCCACAGTCCTGAACCTCACCCATTTGCCCTCAGCATCAGAAGGAAGGGGGACGATGCCAACCCCAGCTGCAAGCGATGTTGAAATTCCTGCTTGCAACTATCCTCAGCTAGCTGAGACCAGGGCACTGTGGGTTTGAATGGGGTCCTAGATGGACACCCACCACCGCAGTGGAATAATGGCAGGCGCATCTTACAGATGACAAGTCGATGGCCAGTGGGCAGATCAGCTCCACGGTAGGTCCTGATGTCAAGGACATGGGCCCGCATGCGCTGGTCCGTAATTATATAGTCCAGCAGATGTTCGTGGTTGGACCCAGCGTGGAACCATGATGTTTTGTGGATGTGCCAATGCCGGAACAACGTGTTCGTAATTACAAGCCCATGGGTTGGGCTTGGATGGCATCTCCTCGAAGCCCACTCACGAGTAGGAAGGGAGTTGCACAGTCATCTGTGTCGTGATCCACCAACCCTCGCTGCTGCCTTCAAAGTGCTGGGTTACACGCCACGTGCAGCGTTGCCATGACCACAACCACCCGACAAAGATCGCCGTTGGGATATAAACCACGGACTACATCGCCAGACAGCCTGCATAACAGGGGGAGAACATCCGAATTCTACACAGACAGGGCGCCCGAGTTGGGAATCGAACCCATGTGCTCTTTTTTGTGAGGCTCGAATGTTACCACTGCGCAACCTAAGAGCGTTGTTCAGGGCGTGTTCTTGATCTCTCTACGCGCACGGTCGCCCGTCACGAGAGATGAAAAACAGCGTTTTGTTGAGACGGAGAAGTGCGCAGATTCCTGCCGGCACTTTTTATTAGGCTCTGCTTAGAACACACGTACACACACACAGGCGCACACGTACACCTACACATACGTACACACACAGGCACACACGTACACCCACACATACGCACACACACACATACGTACGTGTTATTGTTCTTTCATAAGTATTGGAGGAAACGGTGGTGCAAACGTTGAGTGCGCAATGCCACGAACGATATCCGACCCATTTTTGGTCACCCCCGTTCACTAACCCACAGGGGCCAGCGTAGTGAGGAATGGTTAACAACTCTCATGGCCAATACAGCATGGGCAGATCATCATCCAGCAGCAGTGGCATGACGCCAACAACACGTACCAACCAGAACCATGGACTCTTCGATAACCAATGTCTCTCTCCCTGTCCTTCCACATCTCCAATCTCTCTCCTCTCCGCACCCCGTGCTCCTTTCCACCACCACCACCATCACTCCCACTATCCCCACCACCACAATCCCCGCTATCACCACCACCATCACCACCACCATTTCCATCACTAAAACCATCCTCACCACCACCATCCCCACCATCACCACCACCATACCCACCATCACCATCATCTCCACCGCCATCCCGACCACCACCATCACCCCACCACCATCCCCACCGTACCCACTACAATCCCCACCACCACTGCCACCACGCAGGAACTGGTGCGCGCGGCACGTGACGCGGAACGTCTCGTGCGCCGTGCTTAACGGCTCGCACTCGCACGTCCGGGCCGAGCCTCAGCGCTGTCGCTGGGGTCAGGACAACTGTCCAGGCGGCCGCACCACCTACCTGTGAGTCGAGCCGCCGCGCCACGCACCACGACGGTTGCCACCTGTCCCGGCGGGGTCGACCCGGGCAGTCTGGGAAATGACATCCAGTGGCGGTCCGGGGGTGGGTTGTCAACCTGTGCGTGTTGTGTTGTTCGTGGGGAGCGGTGGCGCAGCGGTTAGCGAGTTGCGCTGTGAACCCGGCGAACCGATTTCCATTCCCGTTTACGGCCGCCAACACCAGTGACGATTATCTGAACCGGTACTGGGCCTTCCCTAGGTCGACTCGGCCTCAAATGAGTACCTGCTCCGGTGTCTAAACATCGATACTGGGGATACAAAGGCGGTACACCCCCTCGCATGCCGTCTTCATAGGTGCTCGCTCACAGCACTTTTCCCAAAAGTCAGTTAAGGCTATACGGGGGACTTTTGTCTCGTGTTGTTATTGTCGCGTTGTGTACTGCAGAGTTTTGTGTCGAGCTCGGACCCACGTCTAACAGCGAGTCTTCGCCTATTGACACCTGGCAGGTCACCAGCGTTGGTTCAAGCGAGCCTGACTGCTGATGAGACACTGCATGTGGAATCGAGTGTTTGCTCGCGTTGAGCCAACGCTGCTGAGAGTATCGCCTCCTAGAAGGCCGAGTGGCTGATGTGTGGCAGCGCCCCTTCGTCTTCTTGTGTGGAGACAGAGAAGTAAAGGAGGCGGGAGTGTCTGCAACTTTATTTCATTTATATTTTGTTAAATCGTTTATAAATCTAATTCCATGGCAATTCTCTCACCCTGTCTCTTTCCCCAAGCTCTCATACTGATAATAATAACACCATGAACCTCGCTCAACTAAATCATACCCCTTATTCGCTCTTTTACGACTTTCCTAATCGTGATGTTTGTTGCTGGCTGTCAGGCCTTTGGGCCGTGTGCTCAGCAATTGTGTCGTTAAAAAATATACAACCTCCATAAAATATCCAGGCTTCAGTGGTTCATCTGGGGTGACGGCTCCCTCTGGCTCCCTCCCTGTCAACGCGCGTGCATTCCATGCACTCATTAGCGCGATGGGAGGGGAGAGGCAGGGGGGGGGGGGCTAGGACCGCGGGGCCCCCACGGACCACGTGGGCGGGTAGCGCCAGCGCAGTGCCGGGACGTGGCTGTCCCGGGCTGCGGTGCAATGAATAAGCTGGGGTGGTGGTGGGGGGGGGGTGGTCCCCCTGCCCAAATCCACCCCCACGTCCCACTCCCACCCCACACCTCGTGACCCCTCTGGCCTGAGTGCCCGTGCCACCCGTAATGGTGGGCAGCGGGAGTGGGTGCGGCCCGCCCCCCCGAGTTCGATTGCCGTTCACAGTCCAGATCAGTGACCAACTATCCAACCCGGCCGGTCCCGGTGGCCTCCCCGAGTTCGCCTCTACCTTAAACGAGTATCCGGTACGTTGTGTAATCATCACCGCCGGGGACAGACAAATGCGGCCGGGCGTGATGCTGCTGACCACACCACGCCCCTAGTAGGTTCGCCACGCCGGCCGTCATAGGTTCTGCTCGCTAACGGCACTTGCCCCAACAGCATGTTAAAGGCTATCCGGTGGAGCTTTATCTCTGTGTGCGTGTGTGGGCCCGGGGCAGGTACCGCGCGTACCTCACGCCCGTGTACAAGGTGGGATACAAGAGCGTGACGGAGCTCAAGTGGAGCTGCTGTCCAGGATTCTCGGGGTCAGACTGCGAGGTCGGAGTCTCGGGCCACAGTGGCCGCCCCTCGCCCACCCCGGCCACACCGGGGCGGCCACATCGCGTCAACGGGCACGGTAACGGTGGTGGCGACATCACCACCACCATCATCATTATCTTCACGTAGGCCTCGAAGCTGTCACAAACCGCTCTGATTTTCACGAGGATCCTGCAACATTGGAGATGTTTGGTCACGAATAAATGAATACCTGCTGTGTGTAAACATCAGCATTGGAGAGATAAAGGTGGCCGGGCGTGGTCATTGGCAGAGCCAGGGTTTTCAAGTAGCGGGGGCAACCCCTCCAGCAATGAAAAATGATATGAGTTGTTAGTTAGTAAGGAGTTGTTAGTTAGTAAGGAGTTGTTAGTAAGTAAGGAGTTGTTAGTAAGTAAGGAGTTGTTAGTAAGTAAGGAGTTGTTAGTAAGTAAGGACTTGTCCCTTGCTTTTTATTCGACGCGTGTGCGGCGATGGCACAGCCATCGATCGAGGATCGGATTCAAACCGCGTTGTGTGATCGGCATCGCGCTCGCTGAAGGTGTTGATGCCTTCAGGGAAGTCGTGTACTCTGTATACGCAACTGCGCACAATTCTGAGTCACTTATAACTGCTTTGCCGTTACTTATTGCCAATTATGGACTCGGACTATTGTCCTATCAACTCATAGAGTCCCCGGCACTTAATAATATGCGACACAGTGGCAGTGGGGGTCGTAAAATGCCGATTTATTACATAACTAGCTTTACTACCCGGCTTAGCCCGGGACTTGGATTCACCACGCCCGGCCGCCTTTGTCTACCCCAGTGGCGACGTTCACACACCACACCAAGTACTCGTTTGAGGCTGAGTCGACATAGGGGAGGCCCAGGACCGGTTCAAATAATCGTCACCGGTGGTGGCCGTGAGCGGGAATCGAAATCGGGTCGCCGGGTTCGTAGCGCAGCGCGCTAACCACTACACTACAATGCGTTACGCTTCCACATGTGTGGGTCACGTGACAGGTTTGACGTCACAGCTCACTTGCCGTGCAAAAACTATATGCATTATTGAGCTCCCCCCCCCCCCCCCCCCCAAAAAGTATATTTTTTATAATTTTTGCATGGTGTACAGTCTGGAAAGTACCCACATGGCAAATTCCAAGGAAGTACGCTAAACATTTTGAACAGATACACATAATCACAACTTTGCCTTTTATATACTGTATATGGAGATAAACCCCAATGATCCGATCGAAATTAGCGATGTCGATCGGATCATTGGGGTGGCACGTGCCACCCCACCCCCCACTGGCTCCGCCAGTGGGCGTGGTGTTGGCCACCGCACCCGCTCGTGCGCCATCCTGGCATCCATAGGTGCTGCTCGCTAACAGCTCCGGTCCCAAAAGTCTGTTCGAGGCTACACGGGGGATCTGTGTCGATGTTTTGCGGCAGATGTCAGGGAGCGCACGACAGTGTGGGGCAGATACCCTGGAAGCGCAGAGGTGACGACCGCGTCGGGCGTGCGGACGGCCCGGGGGTCGCCCTGCGACAGTCGAGGCGACTCGCGCGTGCGCTTGCCGTGCCAGGTGGCCCCCCGCGAGCCGTGCCCGCGCTGGGCGAGCGCGTGGTGCGCGTGGAGGCCGCGCTGTCCCAGCTGGGGGCGAGCGTCCTCGCGCTGCGCTCCTCGCTCGGCGATGCGGACGGGCGGCCGGCGCCGCCGCGGGACGGGGGCGTCCTGGAGGCGCTGGGCAGGGTGGACGAGGTGGAGGAGGCGTTGAGGAGGAAGAGCGACGCTCTGGACGAGCTGCGGGGCCTCGTGTTCGCTCACGGGCACCGCATCGAGGAGCTCGCCGAGGGCGGCGCCGCCCGGCGGAAGGCGGTGGATGAGGAAAAGGCGCCCGACTACGCCGCCATCGTCACGGCGGCGCTGAGGGAGCGCGGCGGCGGCGGCGGTCCGGCGCCCGTGCTCACCGGCGCCGCCCACGGGGCCCACGGAGCCCACGGGGCCGTGCTCAACGGGATTGGCGAGGAAGGCGCCGGGGAGCCGTGCGGGGAGGCGTGTGCCGAGCGCCTCCTCGACCTGGAGCGGCGGCTCGAGGAGGAGCGGCTCGAGAGCCATCGCTTCCGGCTGCACGTGAACGCCACGGTGAGCGAGCTGCGCCAGGAGCTCCATTCCCTCCACGGCTCCGTGGAGGCGGCGGCGGCGGCCGTGGCGGCGGCCCGGCCCCTCGAGGAGCCCGAGGAGCCGCCGCTCGTCGCTCTGCTGCTGCGGCGGCTCGCGGACGTGGAGTCCCGGGTGGACGCGTCGCCGTGCTGCTCGCCGGGCGCCGCTGCCGGGGTGGAGGGGCGACTCGCGGCTCTGGACGCGCGGCTGTCCCACGTGGAGCGCGAGCTGACGGACGGCGGAGGGGATGGCGCCGAGCTGGAAGGAGCGTGGCGCGCGGAGGCGGAGCTCGCGGCTCGGCGCCTCGACACCCTCGAGGGCGCCGTGCGTCGCCTGGCGGAGCGCGGCGAGGCCACCGAACGTGCGGCGGACGCCGTCCGGGTCGAGGCGGAGGCGCTTCGGCGCACCGCGGCCCAGCTCAACGCGCCGCTCGCCGACGGCGCCGAGGCGGAGCGGCCCCTGGGCGACGAGGTGTCGCGTCTGGGGGACGAGGTGTCGCGTCTGGGGGACGAGGTGTCGCGGTTGGGAGAGCGCGCGTCCGCCGCCGACGGCAGGGCGGCCCGCCTCGAGGGGGAGGTGGCGCGGGTGGAGGCCGTGGCGGCCGAGGACGCGCGGCGGTGCCGGGAGTCGTGCCCGGGGGCTGCGGCGGCGCGGCCGGCGTGGGAGGCGTGTGGCGGCGAGGCCTTCTGCCTCAAGCTCGACTCCATCTCGCTGGGCCTGCGCGGCCTGCGCGACGGCCTCACGGAGCACGTGGCCGCGCTGTGGGACCGCCTGCTGGAGGTGAACGGCACCGTGGGGACTCACGGCGCCGAGCTGCGCGCTCTGCAGGGCGCCGGCGTGCGGGGGGCGGCCGCCACCGTAGCCCCCCCTCAGCAGACCGGGTCGCTGCCGATTGAGACGCTGGCTGGTAAGCGCGCCGCTCTGAGGAAATGATTGTTGCACACTCGAAATGAAGGACGTGGGCACGTGCTCCAAATCGAGGGCAAACACATTTTTTGTGGTTAATCTGTAAAATGCAACAGCACGTGTGTCACAAACAACAATCTTCAGCGAGTCGCCATTAACCACGTGACTGGTGTACACGTGCCGTTAATCAATTACCCTGCCAGCCCCCCACGGGCCCAACTCAGACAAAACATGCTAGTGTACACACGTGCATTGATGTACTGCACAGCACATAAGGACTTATTCCTAATGTGCCACATGGTGCCTGTATAATAGGCGACGTTTCGAGCAATGGTCCTTCTACACAGAATATGCAATGGAGAAGAGATCTTCTTTCCTATGCGTCTCTCTCCGTACCTGACCCACCTAAAACTCTCATCGCGTCTCCGCGTGTCCCCGCGTCTCCCCGCGCCAGGGCTGCCCGAGGGGCGGCCCCCGTACCCGCGCTGCGCCGCCTTCTCGGCCGCGCTCACGCGGCCCGCGGGCCAGCACGAGACCGTCAAGTTCGACCGCGTGCTCGTCAACGACGGCGGCCACTACGACCCCGAGAGCGGTGAGTGGGTGGGGGCGCGAGGTGGGGGCACGGCTCCCGAGACCCGACTCGCCATCCACAGTTCGCCGGTCCCATCTCCCGGCTTGGCTGTTGAACCAACGACGGTGCAAATTTCTCAAAGTCCCCCGACCTCTGTCCGCCGAGCAGGGTAGATGTCGACCGACACGGTAGCGTGTGGTGGGGTAAGGCGTGGGTACCCGCCGCACGCATACCGGCACCCACCCTGCTCGGTCCGATCTCCCGTTCCCTCCCTCGCCCCGATATGAAGCCGCTGTGACGGACTTATCTCACTCCCCGCACGGACACCGAGCGGCTTCTGTCAACGAACACACGGACCCTGCCGCCCTCCCCCCCACCACTCACATTCCTCTCTCCCCCATCCCCCCCTCACCGCAGGGATCTTCCAAGTGCCGTTCGACGGCCGCTACCTGGTGTCGGTAACGGTGTCCGGGGGGCCACGCGGCGTTCCCGTGGACGCGCTGCTCGCCGTGTCCGAGGAGCCGCTGCTGCGACTCCGCTCGCCCGCGCCGGTGGCGGCGGCGTCTCCGGCCGAGGAGGGGGTGGCGGGGGAGGAGGGGGGCCGAGCGGTGGAACCCTGGGCCCCCGGGGAGGCGGGGGTGGCCTCCGCCTCGCTGGTGGTGTGCCTCAAGGCGGGCCAGGCGCTGTACGTGGAGAACGCTGGCGGTGCGGTGGCGCACGGCGACGAGTCGCGATCCACCTTCAGCGCCGTGCTCCTCTACGAGGCCGACGCCTGAGACGAGCCGAGCCCTCGCCCCCAACCCTCGCCCCGAGCCGAGCCATCTCTCACAGACTCACGTTAGAACCCACAGACTCACGTAGGAACCCACAGACTCACGTAGGAACCCACAGACTCACTCAGGGACCCACAGACTCGCATCGGGACCCATAAAATATTGCTTCTCCCGTGCGCATCGTCAACTTAAGAATCGAATAATCGATGCAGTGATCCGCTCATGGACCTTACCACTGCCGTCCACCACAATGCAGGTCAATAGCTATTGAAGTTGATCTTGTGTATCTAGATGAAAACTCAAGCTACCAAGGTAGAGTCCCATTCGCGAGAGTGAGCTGGTGCATCAGTCTGCTGCCAGTCGGCGGCAATGATAACTGTTGCTGCTGCCGCTGCCGTGTGTGTGATTCTCTAACTTGGAAAATTTGGGACCGGCGCACATTGGCCTACTTCTTGCGAATGTAGTCAAGGAATCTTTAATGTCAAACGTGAGTGGAGCAGACGGCGCGTCGTAGGAGTATTATTATCAGGGGTATTATACAGAGTGGTAATAACCAGGGCGGCCGCTTGAATCGAACCGCGAATCTTGGCAAAGAAGGCGAACGAGATGGTGGTGAGCCGCTAACAACGAGCTTGCTGCATCGCGATTGATGAACAGCACTCGGCTGTTCGGGCTTTTATACCCGGGGCCCGGGGCAACTCACACCTTGCGGGGCCCAACGACGCCTTCCAACTAAGCCGGACATACATCAGACACCGTGACGTCAAAACGCGGGGGCCCGGGGCGGTCGCCCCGATTGGCCGTACCCTAGGGACGCCGCTGTTTATATCGAACGCGGTGTTGGGTGGCGGTGGAGAACGCGTCATGTGAGTGAGCCGCTGCTGTGCACGAGAGAGAGATGCTGCCCTGATGTGTTGTATTGAGATGGCATTCAAGCGTCGTAGAAAAGAATGCCACGTTGAATAAAGACATGCATTTCCTACCCGTGTCTCTCCCGAGTCGCGCCGAGCACACCGTTCGCCACGTGCCGCTGCTGCTTTGAGATCGATCTCAGTTCCAACTCTTCGTCCACGTCTACAGTAATCAGGGTAGAAATGACGTCAACTGGTACCAGCGCGCCGCTGCCGCACGGTGTCCGCTCCTCGCTCTCGTAGAGAGAGAGAGGAGAGACGACTCGGAGCGCCATGAGGGGGAGGAACCACGACCGAGGAGCAGGAAAGAAACAGCAGAGGCAGCCACATAGAGGGAAGGAGCCGCGCCAAGTTCCGCTCCAAGCTCTGCGGTCCTCTGTTAAGGTGCTATCGGCCAATTAATGAGAGTTTACATGTGGGAGGAAGCTAGATCATCCATCCCATGCAGATAGCTGCTGAATTGGTGTGCGGATTGGTTGATGCTTGAGTATTATCGAGTGGCGGTGGTGGCTGTGCTGCACGTGGCTGTCTGTAATCCAGCACTTTGGAGGCAGCAGCGAGGGTTGGTGGATCACACGCAGATCTTGTGAAAACCCCCGTGAGCGTCGAGGAGCCGTGCCCTGGCTCGCCATGAGAAGGTAGTACAACAAAGTGGACTCCACTTATTCTTGGTTCTTTCGGTAAAGTCACGTAGAAGGGAAACAATAAAATAATACAAATATAAAACAATAAAAACATTTTTTTATTGTTTCCCTTCTACGTCACTTACCGAAAGAACCACGAACATGAATCCCTGCAGTCACGAAAGCTTTAAATCAAAATTTGGACTCCACTTGTTCTGTCTCTATGGGGTAGAGTGTTTCCCCCTAGCACGCGCAGATTTTCTGACACGTGGAAACACTAATAAGTTGGCCGATGTCTCAATATGTAGAGGACCGCAAAGCTTGGGCAATTGTTGGTAGCATTGGCGAGATGTGTTGGCACCAATGACACTACTGGCTGCGATGACTTCTTGACCTTGACACTCGTTAAAATACAGTACAGTGCGCACATTAACACTCACGCGTTAAATAGAAAGGTAAAACTATATATGCAGTATCTAAGCCAAGAATGCACACAGGAGGCCATGACGGTGTCAGTGCGCATGCAGACAAACAGCACGGGGTTTATTTACTGCGCATAGGGGACATGGTCATGTACAGGGCTACACACGCCCTCTACTCACTCTATCTATGGCCTACACGTCCCCTCTGCTATATTGGGGCTACACGAGCCCTCTGCTCACCAGGCGCCAGCTGTGTACAGGGAGCACTTGACAATGGCAGTGTCTGACACAGCACATGGCTGCCATTCCTGGACAGCCCTGATTCCTGCCTCTGACCGTCACGGCTCATCGCTGTCGTCAAGGTCCCGGTCATTTTGGTGACCCGAGTCACTCTTGCAAATTTAGACTCACCCTGGTCTCTTTGAGTTCTCAACTGGTTCCAATAAAGTCAAATTGAGACGATGGTACGGGAACCCGTGAGTCAGTCTGTCGGTCACGGCACCAACTCAGGGCTCATTCTGATGGCGTTGACGAGCACCGCACACACCCCGCCTGGCGAGCGCCGTGGCTGGGTGCTGGTGGTGTGGTGAGAGGAGCGGCGTGGTGAGTGTAGCGGCGTGGTGAGTGTAGCAGCGCGGTTAGCATAGCGGGGTGGGTGGTATAGCGGTGGCGTGGTGAGTGCAGCAGCGTGGTGAGTGTAGCGGCGTGGTGAGTGTAGCGGCGTGGTGAGTGTAGCGGCGTGGTGAGTGTAGCCACGTGGTGAGTGTAGCGGCGTGGTGAGTGTAGCGGCGTGGTGAGTGTAGCGGCGTGGTGACTGTAGTGGCGTGGTGAGTGTAGCCACGTGGTGAGTGTAGCCACGTGGTGAGTGTAGCCACGTGGTGACTGTAGCGGCGTGGTGAGTGTAGCCACGTGGTGAGTGTAGCCACGTGGTGACTGTAGTGGCGTGGTGAGTGTAGCCACGTGGTGAGTGTAGCCACGTGGTGACTGTAGCGGCGTGGTGAGTGTAGCCACGTGGTGAGTGTAGCCACGTGGTGAGTGTAGCCACGTGGTGAGTGTAGCCACGTGGTGGTGTTGCGGTGTGGGTGGGGGGCATGGCTCGTCCCACTGCCCCCCTCCCTCTCCGGCCCTGGCCGTTCACACGGGCGCTGGGTGGCCCTGCTGGGCTGCGAGCGCCTCACTCAGCCTGAAATAGCAGAGACATAGAGACAGTGACCCCTACGTGGCCATCAACACAGACCCTTGGGTCAAGTGCACACACACCAACACAAAGATACCCGTATAGCCCTGTACACTGTTGTGCTGGTAGCGAGCATCGATGAAGGCCGGCACAGCACACGAGGGGGTGGTGTGGCCAGTACCTAGAACCGGCCACCTTTGTCTCCCGAGTGCCGATTTTTCCGAACCACACTAGGTGCTCATATCAGCCGCCACTGATGTTAGCCTTGGTCGGGATTCGAACACGGTTTGTTGTGTTCGCAGTGCAGTGCGCGAACCACTGCACCACTATTTGCCACATGTATCCCATAATAACAAAAATTCCCCCACATAGCCTCTGGGCAAGTGCTGTGTGCGAGCTATGACGTCAGTGGCAAGTGATATCAGCACTGGTCCTGGGCCTCCTCGAGGTCGATTCAGCCTTAAAATGATGTGTATCTCACGGCCAACACACAAAGACAAAGATTATCCGTGTAGCCTTAGCAGACGATTGGAGCAGGTGCTGTTAGCGAGCACCTATGAAAGCTGGCATGGCACACAAGGAGATGGGTGGCCAACACCACGCCTTGCCGGCTTTGCCTCCCTAGTGGCGATGTTTAGACCGCACCAGGATACTCATTTTGAGGCTGAGCCGACCTAGAGGAGGCTAGGATCGGTTCAGATAATCGTCACTGGTGTTGGCCGTGAGCGGGAATCGAACTGGGGTTGCTGGGTTCGTGGTGCAGCACGTAACCGCTCCCCACAATAACACACAAATCAGAAAAAAACTCACCACATTCGTCAATAACACCGTGCCCTCAAAATTAAATACATGTTTCGGACAATGTGCCGTGACGAAGAATGATTGCCCGAAATATCGTCTGTTGAATATAAATATTACATCCCGATGCATTTTCCTTTAAGGCCACACAGCGTTGTTGACGACTGTGCTGTGAGTCCGTTTGCTAGGACAGGCAGATGGTGAATACGGCTACTCAAGCCAGCAAATATCAGGCTGGTACACGGGGTACACGGGGTGAATTACAGCCACCCGCACTGGCCCATTGGCTGGACGCAGGGGGCGGCCACTGCGGGGTGGAGACGCCGGGACACGCCGACAAACGCCCCGCGTGCCGGGATCCGAGCCACGCGCGCACTCGAGGCATCGTCAAACTCTGCTGGGGCACAGCTGGCAGCGAGAGCTGAGTGTGGCTAGGTGCATGCGGGCCTCTTGGCTGTGTCTGGATGTGTGTCCGTGTGTGTATGTATGTGCAAGTTAACACACCGCACTAGGTACTCACTTGAGGCTGAGTCGACCTAGGGGAAGCCCAGGACCGGTTCAGATAATCGTCTCTGGTGTTGGCCGTGAGCGGGAGACAAAGGCGGCCGGGCGTGGTGCTGGCCACCCACCCCCTTGTGTGTCGTGCCGGCCTTCACAGGTGCTCGCTGACAGCACTTGCCCCAACAGTCTGTCCAAGGCTATACGGGGTGTCTGTGTCTTTGTTTGTATGTGCATGTACGTGTGTGTATGTAGTTGTGTGTGTGTTCGGATCACACTTGTGAACGATAAGCAGTGGCGAATATTTTAACAGGTCCTGCCCCCCTCCCCAAGTCGACTCAGCCTCAAATGAGTGCTTGGTGCGGTGTGTAAACATCACCACTTGGGAGACGAAGGCGGCTAGGCGTGACGTTGGCCACTAACCCCCTCGTGTGCTGTGCCGGCCTTCATAGGTGTTAGCTCACATCACTTGCCTTAACATCGTGTTTGAGGCTATACGGGGGTCTTTGTGGAAGTACAGGTGGTACATCTGTCAGTCACAGCACCTGGGAGCGTCCCGTGACCTCCTACCAGCGAGTCTTCGCCTCAATCCACACCCAAAAGGTGCACCTAGCCTGGCACAAACGCTATGGACAGTCTCTCGTCTCGCTTACTTCTGCATAGCCTGACAGGGCGGCAGGTTGTCGCTCTGCGACCTGCCAGCTTTGCCCAGGAAGGAGTTGATCCACCAGTGGCCGGATTCCGACGTGGGGAGTGCTGCGTGCAGAGAGAGACAGGGCGGTGAAGGGTCGCACACCAACGCCCCGTCAACTCACAACACCAACACCGCCGTCGTCATCATCATCAGCTGCTGCTGCTGCCTTGGCAGTGGTGCAAAACAAACAGTGAACAAACAAAAACACAATTCAACGCCTTGGTCAATCACACATCTGTGTGTGGCAGCCGTCCTTCTTATTTTAGATAATTATCAGAGGCAAGAGTTAATTGGTGCTGCTGCTTCGATTGCTGCTGCTACTATTAGTGTATTGTGCCACGCACTCACACAAGAACAACCCTTCCCACAATGCAATGTACACAATAACATTTTCTACTTTTTCAGGTAGTTTTAATATGAGTTTGTTCAGTATTATTGTATGGGTTTTGTCTGTTACCCAATAGTTACTTACAGGGTGACTATTTATACCCATATTTACAAACTGGTCGTCAGAAAACATTTAAAATATAATTCTGATCTTGTCATCCACTCTCTCTCTACTGGCTTCTGTGTATATGCTATAGAGGTCATTACCTGAAACGTCGCCTATTATATTTTATTTTAATGCCACACATTGTTGTTCAGTAGTTGTATTGTTAGTCGTACACGACTAACTACTAAACTTTGATTTACCAGATAAAGCCAACTGACATTAGCTCATTTTCAGAGGTGACCTGGCTACACTTTATGATCGTTAATCGTAATGGCTGCGATCATCATTATCACACGTGGGATTTTATAGTAGAAGACAAACACTCTCAACGCGTGTTGATTCTAAATGTGGAAGGAGACAAAATATACACCAGGCCGACAACTTCCTGCATGCCAGGCGAGGGAGATTTCATCTCTTTCCACTGCGGCCTGCCCGAGAGCTCAGCAAACCAGATGGCCTTCAGTGACACCCAGTCGCGCGGTAGCATTGTTGGCACGTGCCCTGGCGCAAGGAATTAATTAATTAGACATCATCTCTCATCTTCGTCAGCTCGGTGCCTGGGCCCCTCTGCCCCGTAGGGGGTGCAGGGATCTCGGCGCAGTTGCACCGCCTGCGCCCCGAGCGGACTGCCAGCTGCTGCTGTCACTCTGATGATCATCATGGTGCCACTGAGAGAGACCGCGGTGCGAGAGGTCTCTTTGAGTCGTCGATGGCGTTTGTGGAGACCTCACAAACGTCAGTTGTAACTCGCTGACTCGGCCCTACTGGATATCTGTGAAAAAAGAGCTTCATAGCTCATCGGATTCCTCCAGGATAAATAAAGATTCTGAACGTCGTTCGACCTCGTGGCAACCTCGCTGGGCCAGTGACACCGTGCGAGAGGGACAGTGGCGGGACTATGGAGCCCGACATTTGGTGTTCCGCTGATAATTACCGCGGACAGTTTAAAACAACATTCCCCTTCTTTGGTTCTTTCGGTAAAGTCACGTAGAATGAGAATAAAATAATGAATTAATAAAATAAAAGAACACAAAATTCTCACGACGTGACTTTAGCGAAAGAACCAAAGAAGATGAATCCTAACATTCCCCTATTTAAATAAGTTGGAATTTCGCCCCTTCCTCTCCCCCTCCACACAACTCCTCCCTTTGGGAAGTTTTCTAGCTCGGCTCGGCTGGGATTGGCTGCCGCCGTGTTGTCGTCTCCCCGCTACCTGGGGGGTGAGGCTGGGTCGGTGCCACATCGGCGCAGTCCCACGGCCTGTCGGCCCCGCTCGATGACGACGCCACGCTCGAGCAGGAGCTGAGACGCCCTGTGAGAGGGTGGGGGGGGGGGTCACCGGGCCATTAGGTCAAGGGGTCATGGGGTCACGGGGTCATTCGGTCACGGCTCATGGGGATAATGGTGGCGCCCCGGTCAATGCTGCAAATTGTGCACAATACGAGCCGTCTGCTTCACAGCGGACGGTAAATATCCCGTGACGCCATTCGAAAGAGTAGGCCATGGCGTGCAGGAGACACGGTCCACATTTGTATATGAACTGCGTATATATACAATATATACAGTATATAAATGACCATGCCTTTTGGCGTCATCTGGTCTAACATCGTTTGAGACGAGGCTCGAAAGAAAGCTGTCTCTGGTGTGGACCAATCAGTTTCAAAGACAATGCCACATATATTATCAGTGTTTTTTGTTTGCATTCTGACCACAAGTATTGTGGTTAATGCAGCCATGATTCCTTGTAAAAGGTTTCAGTTTGGTGTTTTAACAACTTAACACCTGTTTTGTTGCCAGAAAAAAGGGGAAAACCTATTCTCATATTTTGGTACTGGCAAAGGAGGTCCCATTGTGTATTATCAAAATAAAAGGCAACAACGCGACCCCTACTGGCAGGATAAGTACTGCTTTTATCTTGTGCTCCACAGAGACATCTGTCCACAGGGGTCCCCTAGGCTAAAAATGTGACCTATACAGCTGGACATTTTAATGATTGCGATGTAGATGTCAGGCGCACTGAGACGTTTCAGCGGCGCCGTGTAAACACAAAGGGTTCCTTTCCGAAGTGAAATCGACTCTGAATCGTAGTCTCTGCAAAGGCTCCAAGTTCCACGGCCTCGAAGAGCATCCGGATGGGAACCACTGATCTCGGGGATTGGAAGTTCTGTTCTGTCCCTGTGCATAGTGACAGTGGCAATCTGGTTCAGGAACTCGATGCCAATGGCGAGGTTTGCTGTTGCCGGCCACGACGAGAGGGCTTCAGTCGACATAGTTCGTGGAGTTTTGCCGTTCCTCCTCCTCCGTTGAAGGAGCGCAGACCACAGTGGTTCACTGTCGTGTCTCTATGGGTCTCTATGTGACCCGACGGGTGGGATTTTAAGGAAGGCCTCTAAGTGTCTCTTAGAAGTCAGTGCAGATTGAGCGCTGCTGCTGCGAATGTGGAGGGAGTGGGGGCAGGAGATGTTGTAGCTGGCCCTGCTGGTGATGGTGGGAAGCCATTGGATGAGGGAATGGAGGCAGGAGATGTTGTAGCTGGCCCTGCTGGTGATGGAGGAAAGCCGGTGGAGGAGGGAGTGGAGGGAAGTGAGGGAACCTAGCCTATGATGACGGGCGCAAAGGAAGTTGCGAACGAAATAGTTGTGCGAACGTTTGAGAGTTTCTTGAGGTTGCCCGGTGAAAATGGAACAGGGAAAGACTTATAACGTTGGGTAGGTGTGTGGGGCGGTTGCTATTCCTGCAAAATCTAACGGGCAGAACATTCCGTGCGTGAGACGCGCGTGCTTAGCACAGTCTCGGGACTCGTTGCTAAAATTAGTCGGACCGTTTCACGCCGCGCTGGGCATACGGGTGGCAAATAAATAGTTAAATAAATCGCTCACACCCTGAGCAGTGCTGGGGTACAGGCCATGTGCAGCGTAGCCACCAGAGTCCGGCTGACAATGCACCAATGCGTTTAATTTATTTGTGCCGCAAAATAAAACTCGCAAAACTCTTACTGCGGTAGAAGTCTTTCTTTGCCAGAAGCGATCCTGACGGGATGGAAGCCATGCTAGTTGTCAGGGTGTGCAGCTCTGCGGGAATCGAGACACACAGCAGAGTACAACACCACAACAAACCCGAGATCTACACCAGCAACCGTGTACTCGTGTCAGCGCCACCACCACGGGAAGGAGAGTAGAGCCAAGGGTGGAGGAATGTGTGGGGGAGGGGAAGGGCAAGGAACGGGAGAGAGAAGAGAGGAGAGAGAGCGGGGGGTCAGAGGAAGAGGGTGAGCAGAGAAAAGGGAGCACAGATGGGTCAGGATAGACGAGGAGAGGAAGGAGGGAGAGGCTGCTTCAAGGCCTCGACTCTGCTGCTGCTGCACGGAGGAGGCGGAGCGGCGTCTGTTTTCACAGTGGGCGGGGGGAGGAGAGTGGAGGGGTTCGGGGGGGGGGGTGACCACACAGAAGTCACGTGGTTTACGGGAGGCTTGAGCTGATATAAATCGAGAGACAGGGTACGGGGGAGCCCCTCTACTCCATTACCTTCACCACTGCTGTCAGCCGTGGCCGCAAGTTGAACTCGGGTCGCCGTGTTTTGCATAGCACGGTACGCAATAACCACCTTGGCCCCCACGCTGATGGGAAGTGGTGATGACGAATGAGAGAGTGAGAGAGAGGGAGTGAGTGAACGAATGATCACCAACCTTCGCCCTCACCTGTACGGGTTACTTGTCCGTGATGGTTACCCTCGTGCGGAAGACTGATGTCGATATCCGCGGATCTCACTCAGCCAGTGCCGGATTGCATGTGCGAGTCTATGTACTATGATGACCCATTGACCTGCGAGACCAGGCCAGGGAGAGAGACTTTGAGCGAAGTTGAGTTGATTTCTGTCGCGGGGCACCGCTGCCGATTTGACTCCTAGTCTTCTCCCCCCGAAATGCCCGTGGGGCAAGCCGCAGTATTTATACCTCCCTGTTTGCACCACGGCTCCCCCCCCCACACACACCGCATCTACCAATGACAATGCGGGTGGGAGTCAGTGGCGTTGCGTGGCTCACATTGGCCCCTGTGCGAGGCATTAGATGGGGCCCGTGGCCAATTTCCACCTCCTCTCCCCTATTGTTAGTGATGGTAATATTGGCAGTGTTCAGTTTTGGTTTAACCGAGCCATCGTTCATACGAATTACACCTCTCACGGTCGGGGATGAATCACAGCCGGCGCCACTAACGATTGACTCACCCCAAGTTCTGCGGTCCTCTATGTATGAAGATATTTCCAATCAATTACTGAGTGTTCATTCGTCGCCTGTCAACCGTAGGGCCCCGGTATAGTTGCACCGCCTGCACACTCGATATCACGGTAACAGCACTTGCCCCACAGTCTGTGAAGTCAATACGGAGGATTTTTGTTTTTTGTGTGTGTGATGCGTAAATAGGCGTTTACGCATCATGCACACAAGCGGAGTAAAAACGTATTAATAATTGTCGCCATTCAGGATAGCGATTAGACTCAAGACAAATTGTTTTGCCTTTCTAACGACATAAGTTATCATTAATAATGTTATGATGACGAATGATGAGCGTGTCTTATCATTTACAGATTATGCCCCTGGCAGTGGTGCACACACGAGGAGTTGGGTCAGAGCTACTTTCGCTTCATTGTTGTCATGCGGTGAGACGGACGGATTTGTGAAAAATGAGTCGAACGTTTTGATCTTCTATTTCGTTCCGGTTGTAAAATTATCATGGGACCTTTTTACCAGGATTAAAGTATGAAAAAAATAAGTTTTACCCTTTCTGGCAATAAAACGGGTGTTAAGATGTTCAAACACCGAATAGAAACAGTTTGCAAGGAATACAATCTGCATTAACCATGCAAACAAACATGCTCTGATAATATATGATGCATTGTCTTCGAAACTGATTCGCCTCTACCATGGCCTCGTCTCACCGGTGTCAGGTCAGAGAACGCCAAAAGGCGAACAGCACAACAACCATGCACATGTCAGAGCATTTATAGCTATTAAAATGTATTGGCATTAGATGTTATAGCTATTAAAATGTATAGGCATTATATATTATAGGTATTACAATGTATAAGCATTATATATTATAGCTATTAAAATGTATAGGCATTATACGTTCTAGGTATTAATATTTATAGGCATTATATGTTATAGCTATTAAAATGTATAGGCATTATATATTATAGGTATTAAAATGTATAAGCATTATATATTATAGCTATTAAAATGTATAGGCATTATATGTTATAGACATGAATATGTATAGGCATTATGTTATAGGTATTAATATTTGTAGGTATTATATATTATAGATATTAATATTTATAGGTATTATATATTATATGTATTAATATTTATAGGTATTAGATATTAATATTGTCTACAGCCTGGTTGGTGGTACTTGTGAGTTGTGGTTCTGTCCACAAGAGGGCGCAGTAGCGCCGCCAGACCGCTAGAGCGCCGCCGCCTTTGTCTCTCCTGTTTCTGCGGCGCTCGCTCGCTCTGTCGCTCTCCTCACGCCACGACTCTGTGTGGGTGAGCTACCCGCCTTGTTGACATGGCGTCTTCATGTCCTTCCCCAGCACCTCCGGTAATTAGCTCCGCTCGATAACAGCTCAACACACAGACAGACACACACAACAACAACCGCCATTCGCCACTAAGTGGCGGTGACGTCACCACGACGCTTGTGCCAGGCTATGTGCACCCTGAGGCCACGTGAAGTGTCGAACGCCCGCTGGCAAGAGGTCACGGGGCAGACCCAGGTGCCACGGGTCGACTTACTGAGATGACTGGCTGATGCACCACCTGTGCCCCCTACTGTGCCAACATGCTGTGCTTTAGCCACCCGGCGCTCCGCTCGTTGTTCTGAGCGTCGCTCCTCCGCCCTCCGTTGTTGTTGGAGGGCGACTACCTCCAACTGCCCAGTAGCGTCCTTCACGAGCCTCCTCCACAGAGGCCGATCTTGACACCGCTGGTACCAGTCATCGGCAAGTCCACTCAGCTCCACGTCCTCCTGTACCACATCACTCCATCTCTTCTCTAGCCCGTGCCGCGCCCGCTTAGCCCCCTCAATCCGGCCGAACAAAAGCTGTTTCGGCATGCGGTGGCTGGGCATGCGGGCTACATGACCCAGCCATCGCAGCCTGCCCCGCCGTAGGAGCTCACCGATGGGACCGTGCCCAGATCTTTCAAGGATTTGTGAGCTCCTCACGCAATCCAGCATGGTTAAACCCAGGATGGATCGTAGGCAGGCCAGCCTAAATGTTTCTAACCGGCGAAGATGTTCCATTAGGGGACACACACACAGAAACACACACAGACACACACAAACATGCGTCTGCACGCCCCGTTTGCAGTGCAGCGTTCGATTATTCGATATCCAGGCGCGGCATCTGAAAGCAATGGAGCGCGTCTCTTAAATCCGTGGATGGGCAGCAGCGCTGTAAGGGGTAGATCGCAGTCACGGTGGGAATGAGGGTAACTGGTGCCTCTTGCCAAGAAAGCGTGGCCAGCCGGCGTGGAAGAGGAGACCAAATACACACCGCTCTAGAGCGGTTTCTATTCGGTGTTTGAGGCTGCTTCCAACCGCAGTGCCGTGAGAGAGAAATTGCAGGCGCTGCGCGTGTACCTTTGTGACGTCATGCGTGTTCCCCACAAAAAAAAACTCAACACGCTCGACAATGTCACTATCTGTGTGGCCTTGAAAGAAGAAACACATATAATAAGCGAGTGACGTTTCGGGTAAGGGTCCTTCTTCGCATAAGCTCATCCTCAGTACAATCGAGTGCACCGACTTGCTGAGTGTACATAAGCGGCGGCTGGCAGTGTGGCAGCAGCTTCCCTGGTGGTCTAGTGGTTAGGATTCGGCGCTCTCACCGCCGCGGCCCGGGTTCGATTCCCGGTCAGGGAACATTTTTCTTATCTCACAAATTGTTTTCACTGTTTCGTGTTTTGAAAGCAACTGTTGTATGCATTCTTGATTTGAAGCTTTCGTGACTGCAGGAATCCATCCTCTTGGGTTCTTTCGGTAAAGTCACGTAGAAAAGTAATAATAGATGTCGACGTTTCGATCGCCACACAAGCGATCGTCCTCAGGTGGGATATATGCGTCATTATTGTAATGCTAACTGTGAAAGCTACAATGATACTAACATATATATATAGTCCCATTACAATATCACCCATTTTTTAATTTTATCTTGCATACGAATTTTCCAACGTATTAAATAATCGTGTCTCTCCACACAAGAGGACACACACACTCTGTGTAGGACACACACACTCTGTGTGTAGGACACACTCTCTCTGTGTAGGACACACACAGAGAGAGTGTGTGTTCTACAGACACACAGAGTGTGTGTGTGTAGGACACACACACACTCTTTATGTAGGACACTCACTCTCTCTCTGTGTGTAGGACACACACTCTCTTTTGTAGGACACACCCTCTCTCTCTGTGTAGGACACACAGAGAGTGTGTGTGTAGGACACACACTCTCTCTGTGTGTAGGACACACACACACACACAGAGTGTGTGTTCTACAGACACACAGAGTGTGTGTGTGTAGGACACACACACACTCTTTATGTAGGACACTCACTCTCTCTCTCTGTGTAGGACACACACTCTCATTTGTAGGACACACCCTCTCTCTGTGTAGGACACACAGAGAGTGTGTGTGTAGGACACACACTCTCTCTGTGTGTAGGACACACACACAGAGAGTGTGTGTTCTACAGACACACAGAGCGAGTGTGTGCTCTACAGACACACAGAGTGAGTGTGTGTGTCCTACACACACACACTCTCTCTGTGTAGGGGACACACAGAGTGAGAGTGTGTTCTACAGACACACAGAGTGAGTGTGTGTTCTACAGACACACAGAGTGTGTGGGTAGGACACACACACTCTGTATATAGGACACACTCTCTCTCTCTCTGTGTAGGACACACACTCTCTGTGTAGGACACACACACTCTGTGTGTGTGTCCTACACACACTCTCTGTGTAGGGCACACACAGAGTGAGTGTGTGTGTGTCGTACAGACACACACACACACTCACTCTGTGTGTGTGTCCTACACACAGAGAGAGTGTGTGTCCTACACACACTCACGCCAATCACAGCACACCTCACACACTCCGGCCCTTGTCACACAAAGCCCTTCCTTGACTGCTTGGCAAGACAGCCCCTCTTCGCCGGAGGCTACAGCGCCTGCTCGTGGTAACGTCTCATAAGTGCATGTACTTGGTACTCGACACCAACACGTGCAGTACTGGCTGGTACTGTCATCGTGAGCCGCTCCATCTCGCAGAGAGAGAGAGGGACGACGACTCAGAGGCGCCAGGAGGAGCCACAGACGAGGAGCGGGAAGGCAGCAGCAGCCACGCGGTGGTGAGGAGCCGGCGCCAATTCCCCCCAAGCTCTGCGATTCTCTATATATCAAGGTGTTTACGGCCACTTAATAGTGTTTATACGTGGGAGGAAACCGGAGCACCAGAAGAAAACCCACGCTTTGCGCGAGGGGGCAACACTCTATCCCGTGCTAGATGGGACATATGGAGATTAGAATGAACAGAATATCTTATTCAATATACTGTATTAGTCCGCACTTTGCTGAACCCGCCTTTTCCTGGCGAGCCCACCCACGTGTTAGGAAGGAAGTTCAACAGAAATCTGTGCGGTGATCCACCAACCCTCGCTGCTGCTGCCTCCACAGTGCTGGGTTACAGGCAGCCACGTGCAGCAGCGTAGCCACCATCAATCCACTGTTGGATGAGTGCCACCCCACCCTGTATGGGTAGTGAGTGTAATGTTATGAAGAGCAACACTCGTGTGTGTGTATCGGTGGTGTTAACCGGTAACCGTTTTTCAGAAACGTGGAATTGTTAAAGGCGCATCCCCTGCAAGTGCGAGCTCTCGCCTCCACTCGAGGGAGGGAGCTCCTGAGTGGTGCTTGGCTGACTCTTCATGAGCTGCCTGTCACCCCCCCCTCCACTCACACCCCACCGTGCCCCACTCATACCCCACCGTGCCCCACTCACACCCCACCGTGCCCCACTCACACCCCACCGTGCCCCACTCACACCCCACGTGCCCCACTCACACCCCACCGTGCCACACTCACACCCCACCGTGCCCCACTCACACCCCACGTGCCCCACTCACACTCCACCGTGCCCCACTCACACCCCACCGTGCCCCACTCACACCCCACCATGCCCCACTCACACCCCACCGTGCCCCACTCACACCCCACGTGCCCCACTCACACCCCACCGTGCCCCACTCACACCCCACCGTGCCCCACTCACACTCCACCGTGCCCCACTCACACCCCACCGTGCCCCACTCACACCCCACCGTGCCCCACTCACACCCCACCGTGCCCCACTCACACCCCCCCGGACCCCACTCACACCCCCCGGGCCCCACTCACACCCCACCGTGCCCCACTCACACCCCACCGTGCCCCACTCACACCCCACCGTGCCCCACTCACACCCCACCGTGCCCCACTCACACCCCACCGTGCCCCACTCACACCCCACCGTACCCCACTCACACCCCACCGTGCCCCACTCACAGCCCACGTGCCCCACTCACACCCCACGTGCCCCACTCACACCCCACTGTACCCCACTCACACCCCACGTGCCCCACTCACACCCCACGTGCCCCACTCACACCCCACCGTACCCCACTCACACCCCACGTGCCCCACTCACACTCCACCGTGCCCCACTCACACCCCACCGTGCCCCACTCACACCCCACCGTACCTCACTCACACCCCACCGTGCCCCACTCACACCCCACCGTGCCCCACTCACACCCCACGTGCCCCACTCACTCCCCACCGTGCCCCACTCACACCCCACCGTGCCCGACTCACACCCCACGTGCCCCACTCACACCCCACCGTGCCCCACTCACACCCCACCGTGCCCCACTCACACCACTCGCCCCGCGAGTGGCGGATCGCCCCCCGCCCCTCTGTGACCCAGAAAATATTATATTTTCCGAAGCGATGTCATGATTGATGAAGCCGATAATTCCCCTATTACAGAGACGAGAAGTGACGTTACAATAAAATAGTTTCAGACAAAGTACATTTCATTTTGTGTTTTTTTTAATGTAAAGGGGGCCCTGTTTAAAATCTTAAAATTTCGGGACCCCACCCGCCACTCCCCGCGCCTCCATCCCCCCCCGACCCCCCCGACCTTGGGATGCATCCGGATCCACTTCTGGGCCCTACGTACGAGTTCATCGCCGCGCATAGCGTGCACGTGTGTCCACGGGTCCCTCTCACTGGCCACTCTGATCATCTCTCACAAGTCACTCACGAGTCACTCTCACGAGCCGTCTCTCAGAGGTAACTCTCACAGGTCATTAACGAGGCATCTCTCGGCGGACGATCCCTTCCCGTTGACGCCTCGTACTTTCTTCGAGTGCAGCCAGGGTTGACTCCTCACTGAATATTCTCCTAGTCGTGGGCACGCTGGAGGAGCTTGCACGATGAACCCGCATTTGGATGCGGTGTGCCGGGTACAGGAAATGTTTTCTGATTCGCCGACCCGGACTGGCCCAGACAAAATGAAGCCCCGAGTGCCAACAACGTGGCCCCCCGGTTGTGTCTTCTCACCCGGGGTTAAACAACATTCACTTGAAACTTGACAGCATCTCATGCCGAGCATCGTGACCTCAGCGACCTGACGTTTCAGTTTTTTGAGCATCCACTTTATCCGTGATTGGGCAGGCGCGTGTGCGCGTGTACGTGCGTGCGTGTACGCGCGTTCCGAAGCGTGCTGTGTTAATGATCGCGCGCGCGAGAGAACATTGAAGCGTGCAAGGCGTAGCGCAACCTCTGCGACCCTGGCTGACTCACTGCGTGAGTCGTGCGAGTGCCGGCGCACTGCACGCCAGCACAGCTGAGCGGCGTCGGTAACGTCGACAGCGGGGATTGGCGTTCGACCGCGGGTGTCTCTTTGCGTGTGCGAACGCGCTGGCCGAGGTCACTGCGGAGTCGGCAAACTGCGCCCGTGACGCAGCCGCCGATAAGGTTCTCAGCCGTGCCGTGCCGCACGCCTCCGAACGGGACCCACACCTCCCTCAGGTCTCGCGTTATGGCGATCGCTCGCCATGTGATATTTACACAGAGACAAGCAAACGGGTAACGCCTCCCTCGCTGAGCCGCGCAGACTGTGGGGGGATTCGTGGTGTTAGCGAGCACCACTAGAGGGGTGGCTGTGGCCAGCACAACACCCGGACACCTTTGTCTCCCCATTGCCGATGTAGGTGAAGCACACTAACACGGGGTCATGGCAACTCATTTAAAACCGAGCCAACTGTGGGGTGAGACCAACGGCACCCACGGCCGGGAATCGAACCCAGGCCGCTAGGATAGTTACCGCAGTGCACCAACTGCCGTGCCACCGCCCTCGATTATATATCTCTATCTCTCTCGTATGTACAAAGCCAAAGATCCCCGTATAATCTTAACAGAATTTAAGGGCAAGTGTTGTTAGCGAGCAGCACCTATGAAGGCCGTCACGGCACACGAGAGAGTAGGTGGCCAGGACCACGCCTGGCCGCCTTTGTCTCTCTAGTGGCGACGTGTACACACCACAACAGGTACTCATTTGAGGCTGGGTCGAATTAGGGGAAGCCTAGGACCGGTTCAGAAAATCGTTACTGGTCTTGGCTGTGAGCGGGAATCAAATTCAGGTCGCTGCGTTTGTAGCACAGAGCGCCAACCGCTACACCACCGCTCCCCCAGCAATTACACACACGCGCACACACGCACGCATGGACGCTGTCCCCGGCGGGTAGCTACCGGCTACAACCGAGTGCTTTCTGCTCGCGAGAAACCAGCGCTCGCCTCTGCGCGGGGCCGGTGGCGGCGCCGGCTGCAGTGGCTCCGGGCAGGGGGAAGGCGGCGCCCAGCAGCGGGACCCCGTGCAGGGGCAGCGGTGGCAGGGCCCCCGCGCGGGGCCCCAACGGCTGCTGCAGGGCGCCGGCGGGGCCCAGCTGCTGCTGCTGCACGCGGGCGAGGCGGTGCGCGGCGCCCAGCAGCTGGTGGAACGGCATCGCCCACGGTGTCGCCGCGGGGATGAGCGCCGTCTGCTGCTGCTGTTGCTGGCTCTGGGATAGGTGCGCCTCGCGCTGCACAGCATAGCTGTGCAGGTGGGACAGCAGGCGGCAGTTGAGGGGGTCGGCACGGCTGGCGCTGGCGCCGTCGGCCACGGTGAGGAAGCGCGCCACCTCGGAAAGGCACTCACGGAAGCCCATGCTGCGGTAATCCATGGCGAAGGAGAACGGATCGTGGAACCCTGGGGTGGGGATGATTGAGCAAATTTGGACAGATTATTACGAACCCAAAGTCTCATTATTATATGTGAAAAAAAATATAGAGAATTGGTCAAAGCTTCCCAATGTAGCAGGACCCTCCTTAAAAGAAGAGACTGAGTGAATTCCGCATGACAGATGCGAGCTTGCGTGCAAGCAGAGGGGACTGCACCTGTGTCATCTGCGAGTCACGCAGTCACCCACGCATCCGAGAGACAAAGATCCCCCATGCAGCCCTTACCTTAGCAGGCTGTTAGGGCAAGTGCTGTTAGCGATCATCTAAAATGGCAGCATGGCACATTGGGGGTGGGTGGCCAGCACCACGCCCTGCTGAGTTTGTCTCACTAATGCTGAAGTAAAATACCCATTTAAGGCTAAGTCGACCTAGGGGAGGCCCAGGACCAGTTCAAATATTTGCCACATCGTAGGCGGGAGTCGAACTCAAATCGTCACGCGATTCTGTACGATTTTTGACCCCCCCCCTTCGTCACACGGCGTCACAAAAAGTCAAATCGCTTTAAACTATTGTCATTGTAGTGCGAATTTAATGTGGCGCTGCAATCTTATGTTGTAGGAGAAAACATTTATTCAAAAGTCCATCTAATTAAGTAGAACGTGTTGTCTATTTTTATTGAAAGTTTCGCATTTTGATGTGACGTCACATTTCTCACCCCCCCCTAGAGTGTGCTAACCGCTGCGCTACCACTCACGTACACTCACAACAACAACCGCCACTCGTCACTAAGTGACGGTGACGTCACCACGGCGCTTGTGCCAGGCTATATGCACGTTTAAGGCCGCGTGAAGTGTCAAACGTCCGCTGGCAGGAGGTCACGGGACAGACCCATGTACCATGGGTCGACCGACTGAGATGACTGAGATGAGTGGCCGATGCACCTCCTGTGCCCCCCACTGGGCCAAATTGCTGTGTTTTAGCCACCTGGCGATCTGCTTGTTGTTGTGCGTGTCGCTCCTTTGTCCTCCGTTGTTGCTGGAGTGCGACTGCCTCCAACTGCCCAGTAGCATCCTTCACGAGCTTCCTCCACAGAGGCCGATCTTGACACCGCTGCTACCAATCATCGGCAAGTCCACTCAGCTCCACGTCCTCCGATACCACATCACTCCATCTCTTCTCTAGCCCGTGCCGCGCCCATTTAGTCCCCGCTATCCGGCCGAACAAAAGCTGTTTAGGCATGCGGTGGCTGGGCATGTGGGCTACATGACCCAGCCAACGTAGCCTTGCCTGCCGGAGGAGATCACCGATGAGACTTTGTCCAGATCTTTCAAGAATTTGTGAGCTCCTCACACAATTCTGCCTGGTTAAACTCAGGATTGATCGTAGGCAGGCCAGCCTAAATGTTTCTAACTGGGAAAGATGTTCCATTAGGGGGATCCACGTTGCACAAGAATAGAGAAGGGAAGGCACCACCCAAAGCTTCGTGTCGAGAAATAGTCCAGGTTGGTTCCACACAACGTTACGTAACTGATGAAAAGATGATGCCGCTCGACTCATTCGGAGTGAGACCTCTGCTGTCAAGCCGGAGCTGGTCATGAGCATATTGTCCAGGTATGGAAAACTCCACTCTCCCCACATCTGCCCCATCACACACTCACATACACTCACGTACACTCACACACCCTTACCTTTCCCGCCAGGTGAACGCAACATCCGCAGGTGTTCCACCGTCATCTGAAGGATCTCGGCTTTCTCCAATTTTGCCGAACCCTGGGAACAAGCCACGTCGAGGAGGAGTGGAGGGGAATAGAGAGGGGAGGGGAGAGAGGGAAGCAGAGTGAAGGGGAGGGGGCGAGGGGCCATTACTTCCCTGCTGCCGTGCGGTGCGCAGTCGATATCTGTCCACTACTGCATCCTCGCCTCACTGATCGCGTCCTGGGGGGGACTAGAGGGGACTGTGTCCCACCTGTAGGGGACTGTGTCCCACCTGTAGGGGACTGTGTCCCACCTGGAGGGGACTGTGTCCCACCTGGAGGGGACTGGAGGGGACTGTGTCCCACCTGGAGGGGACTGTGTCCCACCTGGAGGGGACTGTGTCCCACCTGGAGGGGACTGGAGGGGACTGTGTCCCACCTGGAGGGGACTAGAGGGGACTGTGCCCCACCTGGAGGGGACTGTGTCCCACCTGGAGGGGACTGTGTCCCACCTAGGGGGGACTGTGTCCCACCTGGAGGGGACTGTGTCCCACCTAGGGGGGACTGTGTCCCACCTGGAGGGGACTATGTCCCACCTGGAGGGGACTGTGTCCCACCTAGGGGGGACTGTGTCCCACCTGGAGGGGACTGTGTCCCACCTGGAGGGGACTGTGTCCCACCTGGAGGGGACTGTGTCCCACCTGGAGGGGACTGTGTCCCACCTGGAGGGGACTGTGTCCCACCTGGAGGGGACTGTGCCCCACCTGGAGGGGACTGTGTCCCACCTGGAGGGGACTGTGTCCCACCTGGAGGGGACTGTGTCCCACCTGGAGGGGACTGTGTCCCACCTGGAGGGGACTGTGTCCCACCTGGAGGGGACTGTGCCCCACCTGGAGGGGACTGTGTCCCACCTGGAGGGGACTGTGTCCCACCTGGAGGGGACTGTGTCCCACCTGGAGGGGACTGTGCCCCACCTGGAGGGGACTGTGTCCCACCTGGAGGGGACTGTGCCCCACCTGGAGGGGACTGTGTCCCACCTGGAGGGGACTGGAGGGGACTGTGCCCCACCTGGAGGGGACTGTGTCCCACCTGGGGGGGACTGGAGGGGACTGTGCCCCACCTGGAGGGGACTGTGTCCCACCTGGAGGGGACTGTGTCCCACCTGGAGGGGACTGTGTCCCACCTGGAGGGGACTGTGTCCCACCTGGGGGGGACTGTGTCCCACCTGGAGGGGACTGTGTCCCACCTGGGGGGGACTGTGTCCCACCTGGAGGGGACTGTGTCCCACCTGGAGGGGACTGTGTCCCACCTGGGGGGGACTGTGTCCCACCTGGGGGGGACTGTGTCCCACCTGGAGGGGACTGTGTCCCACCTAGGGGGGACTGTGTCCCACCTGGAGGGGACTGTGTCCCACCTGGAGGGGACTGGAGGGGACTGTGTTCCGCCTGCCAACCCTCGCGCAGTGCCACGACCGCCTGTCCATCGTCCGTTCACTGTTCCTGGATCCCATTCACAATTTGATCGAAAGCGGTTTTTGTTTTCTTCTGGAGCTGCTCCGATGATTTTGGAACCACATGGTGCCATCTGTATACCCCGTAACACAGACCCTGCCGAGATCACAGAGTTGCACGTGTGAATGTAAAATATAATTGTGTTTAAATCATTTCTGCTATAATTAATGCGTTGTTTAAAGCCACGTGTGTCCTGGGTACATTGTAACCACTTGCTGCTGGTGAGATAAACTCCAAAATTATTCCCCTGACTTCCGACAGTCGCTTGCTGTCGCGAGTCCCTGTGATACGAGGTCAGGGATTGACCCGGGCAATCCGGGAATACGGGTGGCACCAGGAGTTGATGAGTACCGAGGTCTGGTGCCGGTGTTGCTTTGTTTGATAACAGAGGAAGGGCATGGGAGCGATCGCCCCCCCGTCCCCCCGCCCCCCCTCCACCCTCCGTCCCCCCTTCCCCTAAAAGAGTTCCCCAGCCCGCCATGAATCCATCTGTGCAACGGCAGCGCTCACCTGCTTCTCGAGGGCGCTGGGCACGAGGCGTCGCAGCTCGGCAAGGCTGCTGTTGATGCGATCCCTCCTCCTCTTCTCGATTATCTGTGGCGAGCGCCCGCAGAGTCAATTGAGCGTGCGAACAAAGGCACAGATCCCCCTTATAGCCTCAAAAGACCGTAGGGGCAAGTGCTGCTAGCGAGTAGCACCTATGAAGGTCGGCACGGCACACGAGCGAGCGAGTGGTGTAACACTGGCAGTACGAATGAGACAGTGAGATGGTCATCAGGTGAGCTTTCCGTAGTGGTGAGTTGATGAGCTCTGTGTAGTGGTGAGTGGGTGAGCTCTGTGTAGTGGTGAGTGGGTGAGCTCTGTGTAGTGGTGAGTGGGTGAGTTCTGTGTCGTGGTGAGTGGCGCGAGCTCTGTGTAGTGGTGAGTGGGTGAGCTCTGTGTCGTGGTGAGTGGCGCGAGCTCTGTGTAGTGGTGAGTGGGTGAGCTCTGTGTAGTGGTGAGTGGGTGAGCTCTGTGTAGTGGTGAGTGGGTGATCTCTGTGTAGTGGTGAGTGGGTGAGCTCTGTGTAGTGGTGAGTGGGTGAGCTCTGTGTAGTGGTGAGTGGCGCGAGCTCATTGCAGCCTCACCCCTCGCCGCCGCTTCCTTGCCATGTGCTGGGTGCTGCAGGAACCGCTCTTGCCAGGGGAGTCGAACTCGTGCTTGGACCTGCGCGATCCGGAGCCACCACACGGACATTATCATCACCATCACTACCCCATCACCCCTACCACAACCCCTACCACGACACGGACATCATCACCACCATCACCACAATCACCAGTACCCTCACCACCTCCCCCACGACCACACGGACATCATCACCACATTCACCACCACCATCACTACCCCCATCACTTCCACCACCATACTCCCAGCATCACGAGCATCGCCTCCCACAAGACCCATAAGCGTAATGTTGACTTGCTCACGCGTGCGTGTGTGAGACAGTGTGTGTGGGGAGCGGTAGTGTAGCGGTTAGCGCGCTGTGCTACGAACCCGGCGACCCGAGTTCGATTCCCGCTCACGGCCAACACCAGTGACGATTATCTGAACCGGTCCAGGGCATCCCCTAGGTCGACTCAGCCTCAAAATGAGTCACTGGTGGTGGTAGTAGTGGTGCTCACGGTGGTGGTAGTGGTGGTAGTAGTGGTGCTCACGGTGGTGGTAGTAGTGGTGCTCACGGTGGTGGTAGTGGTGGTAGTAGTGGTGCTCACGGTGGTGGTAGTAGTGGTGCTCACGGTGGTGGTAGTGGTGGTAGTAGTGGTGCTCACGGTGGTGGTAGTAGTGGTGCTCACGGTGGTGGTAGTGGTGGTAGTAGTGGTGCTCACGGTGGTGGTAGTAGTGGTGCTCACGGTGGTAGTAGTGGTAGTGGTGGTGCTCACGATGGTGGTAGTAGTAGTGGTGGTGGTAGTGGTGGTAGTAGTAGTGCTCACGGTAGTAGTGGTGGTAGTAGTGGTGGTAGTAGTGGTGGTAGTAGTGGTGGTAGTAGTGGTGGTGGTGGTGGTGGTAGTGGTGGTGGTAGTGGTGGTGGTAGTGGCGCTCACGGTGGTGGTAGTGGTGCTCACGGTGGTGGTGGTAGTGGTGGTGGTAGTGGTGGTGGTAGTGGTGGTGGTAGTGGTGGTGGTAGTGGTGGTAGTGGTGGTGGTAGTGGTGGTAGTGGTAGTGGTGGTAGTGGTGGTAGTGGTGGTGGTAGTAGCAGTGGTGGTAGTGGTGGTAGTGGTGGTGGTAGTGATGGTGATGGTAGTAGTAGTGGTGGTGGTAGTGGTGGTGGTAGTAGTAGTGGTGGTAGTGGTGGTGGTAGTGGTGGTGGTAGTGGTGGTGGTAGTGGTAGTAGTGGTGGTGGTGGTGTTGCGAGTGGCACTATCTGAGTCGCCTCCCCCACCACTCACTCCAAGTCGTCTCCCTCCACGTCGATGCCCTCCTCGAGGTCGCTCTCAGAGGAGCTTCCCCCATCGCACGTGCGCTTCATCCTCCTGCTCCTCCTCGTCTTCGTCTTCTCGCGACGAGAGCGCTCCTCGTGTCTCTCGTCGCCCTTGGGACTTCCACCCGCTCTCCCTCTCTCACGTTATCAATCAACACACCCGTTCATGTATCTTCATCACCTATACGTGTATTGTTTCGCAATTCATCCATGCATCTACGTATTATGCCCGCGTCTCCGCGAATAGATTTGTGTCTCTTTGTCTCTAGATATATCTCGCTGTCTTTATGTATAGATCTATCTGTCTATCTAAATTCTCTCTCCGTCAGTTATCTCCTCCCTCAGTCGGCAACAAGATACATCCGGCGTGATGAAGAGCTGCAGCAGCAGGAGGAAGAAGTCTTTTCTCTCTCTCGTTCGGGACTCGCTCGCGTGTCTCCAGGCCCCGTCTCGCCTCTCGGAGTCATAAAAATAACAATCCCTGTTCTGTCCCACGCCCACCTAAAACTGCCCGTACCCGTACCCCCCTCCCATCCCCGTTCGAAAACAAACAAACGCGCGGTGCTGCTGCCGCTGCTGCCGCTGCTGCTGCTTCGCGATATCTCTATTCACTCAAAGTCATCTCGCTTGCGACTCTGCCGCGACTCTGCTCAAGATCACGCGCGAGCAGCTTCTCCTCCTCCTCCCTCTGGCTCCGTCTCGCTTCGTGTCGCTCTCTCCTCCTCCTCCTCTCTAAAAAGTCTCTCAGCTCCGAATCTCAGCCGCTTTCCCACGGAGCTGTCAGCTCCGCGTCCAGCGAGGGGGCAACCCCCAATCCACTCCACCCCCACCTCGTTCTCTTCATCCTCCCTCCATCCCCGTCTCGTCAACCCCTCCCCACACATCGCCGCCCGCCGCCGTCACAGCAAATCCTAACCCACACCCTTGCCTAGCCCCCCCCCCATATCTTCGTCCCCACCCTCACCTAGCCCCCCCCCATATTTTAGCCCCACCCTCACCTAGCCCCCCCTATATCTTAGCCCCCACCCTCACCTAGCCCCCACCTTAACCTAGCCCCCCCCCATAACCTAGCCCCCAACTTAAACTAGGCCTCCCTAACCTAGCCCCTACCCTAACCTAGCCCCCCCCCCCCATAACCTAGCCCCCACCTTAACCTAGGCCCCCACCTTAACCTAGGCCCCACTAACCTAGCCCCTACCCTAACCTAGCCCCCCCACCCTAACCTAGCCCCCTCCCTAACCTAGCCCCCACCCTAACCTAGCCCCCACTCTAACCTAGCCCCCACCCTAACCTAGCCCCCACCCTAACCTAGCCCCCACTCTAACCTAGCCCCCACCCTAACCTAGCCCCCACCCTAACCTAGCCCCCACTCTAACCTAGCCCCCACCCTTAGCTCCTTTACGCGTACTCGTGCTCCCCATTAAGTGACACTAAACGCCGCCGCCGTCTCCCCCTCTCTCCTCCTCCTCCCCCTCTCTCTTCCTCCTTCCCCTCTTCCCTCCTCCACCCCCTCTCTCTTCCTCCTCCCCCTGCGCTCGCTCTCTTGACCCCACCCAGAACTCCCACAGGGCGCGGTGTGCAGCCTCAGCCACTCGCACCCCCAGCCCCTCGCACCCCCAGCCACTCGCACCCCCAGCCACTCGCACCCCCAGCCACTCGCACCCCCAGCCACTCGCACCCCCAGCCACTCGCACCCCCAGCCACTCGCACCGCCAGCCACTCGCACCCCCAGCCTCACGCACCCCCAGCCACTCGCACCCCCAGCCACTCGCACCCCCAGCCACTCGCACCCCCAGCCACTCGCACCCCCAGCCACTCGCACCCCCAGCCACTCGCACCCCCAGCCACTCGCACCGGCAATTACTCACGCAGGGAATCACTCGGTACACACCAAACACGTACACACAAAGACAAAGATCCCACATATAGTCTAAACACACTTTTTCGGCAAGTACCGTGCACAGACACGCACAAACGACATAAAGACACGCGCGCACACACACACACTGAAACACTAGTCAATGATCCCGTTAATCGGCAAGTGCTGACCAATGGCCAGTGCACTGCACTCCCTCCCTCCTCCGTCAGAACAGGGCACTTCCCTTCCACCCGAACCCACGCATCCTCTATCCACCCCTCACACAGACAAAGATCTCCGTATAGCCTTAATAGATTTTTGGGGAAAGTGCTGTTAGCGAGCACCTATGAAAGCCGGCACGGCACCCACGCGACCACTAACGGACGTTGCACGGCGGTGGCTGCTGTGGATTAACCTAGCCCCCACCTTATAATCCACAGCAGCCACCGCCGTGCAACGTTCACCACAACCCCTCACCCAGTAGCCCCCCCCCCCACCGCCATGAGCCCCCACCCCCCACCAGCCCACCCACGCCAGCTGAGCGGTGACGTCACCAAGAGGTGCTCGCCGCTCGAGGGCGTGGGAACGCGCACTGGCGCCGCGCACGCGTGCACGGGGGGTGGGGGGTGGGGGGGTAGAACCCCAACCCACCATCGGTCACAGGGCCGGGGAGAGAGAGAAGGGGCGAGGGAGATGGTCGACCTCGAAGGACCTGCAACATTCCAGCTCTTTTGAGGATAAATAAAAGTCTCTGTTCGGGGGGCCACGCGACGAACATGACTCTCTGTGGCAAGGCGGGTGGGTCGAGTGCTGCTCCCTCCCTGTGTGTGGACCAGGGCGGTCACCTGAAGAGTAATCGGAAGTAGTTTGGTGAGACCCGCTTCTGCGAGGCGCACGGCACTCCAGGTGCCTCGGGAGACGCCGGGGGGCGAGGGGGAGACGCCGGGGGGCGAGGGGGAGACGCCGGGGGGCGAGGGGGAGACGCCGGGGGGCGAGGGGGAGACGCCGGGGGGCGAGGAGGAGTTTTTGCTCCAACGACGCGAGAGATGCGCGCGGGCACGATCCGCGCTCTCAGCCCAGCCCCGCACCGCCTCCACGCTGAGCGTGCATCGCGTGCGCGCCGGGAACAAACGGTGGCTCGCGATTAGTCGCTCCGTAATGATGAATCGTGACCGGTCGTGACCCAACAGTCACCTCTCCTCCCTACGCTAACCTCGACACCCCCAACCCCGACCGCCACCGCCGACCCGTGGCCCCCTCCTCTCTCTCCTCTCCCCCGACTCCCACCACTCACGCCTGCCTCCCTCCTCTCTCTTCTCGTTCATGCATCCTCTACCCTCTCTCCCGCCCTCTTTCTTTTCACCCTAATGCCCTTCACCCCCCCCCCCCCCTCATGCTCAACGCTTAGACTCCCCCCCCCCCCGTCTCGTTGTTGAATGTGGGGGGCTCTAGGGGGAGCTTGGCTCATGCCGTGGGAGGGTGCGGGGGCTGAAGCGAGCGAGAGCCGTCCGGGCTGCGTCTCTCCCGCAGAGGGAAGCGGGAGGAGCCCCGTCTCGGGCTGCACGCCGCCGCCTCCTCCTCCTCCTCCTGCTGCTACTGCTGCTGCCCCCACGCCCGTCTAGGCGCGGCTGTCTGCTGTTTATAATAATAAACAAGTTAAACGCACAAGCGATAAACAATTAACCGCAATGTGTTCATCCACTGCTGGATGAAGGCCTCACGGCCCATGTTGTGTGTGGTGTCGGGTCCTAGCGGAGGGTTTCGGCGGGGGGCGGGTTGTTTGACCATACTTCTCCACGCTGGTCATGCGGCGAAGAGAGGGTGGGGGAGGGTAGCTCCGGTTCACATATCACTGATGCTGGCCGTGGCCGCGATTCGAGCTCAAGTCACTGGGTTCATAGCGCAATGAGCTAACCATTGCACCACCGCTTCCCCCATGGTGTTTATACTCGATTGTTAAGACACTCAAGGAAGGACCTCACGGTTATTGGTGCGTGTGTGAGCGTGTGTGCGATACTAAACTCACCACACACCTCACCAAGACCAGCACTAAATTCACCACACAGTGTAAAAGTTCATCTCTACTGGGTTAGTAACATCCTGGTTTAACTTTGCCGAACTTGCCAAAATTATACCGCAATGTTACCATAATTGGGGTTGCACACAGCAGCAGTCATCATCACCTTGATTGTGACAACTGGGAATGACGCTCCTGAAACAGTCACGAGACTCTGGTGGCGAATGCAACGTGGATAGCGGCCTCCACTTCCCGTGGGTCGCCCGCGCAACTTGGAGCTTCCGTCGTGACCCCAGACCATCCCGAGTTGCCCTTTCATTTCACGAGCACTCCTCCACCACCTAGCCACCAACAGCTACCACGGTTCACCACTCAGTAGCGGTGAAGTCACCTCGGCACGTATGCCATCCTAGGCGCACTTTGAGGCCATGTGAAGTGTCGAAGGCCCGCTGGCAGGAGGTCACGGAACTGACCCAAGTATCATGGATTGACTGACTAAGAAGACTGGCAGATGCACCAACTGTGCTCCCTACTGTAGCACCGCCGACATCCACACCTGCATCACATCTATACTACACGATACCACCTCCACCACACCACGATTACACCACTAAGACAAAGATCCCCCTTATAGCCTCAACAGACTATTGGGGCAAGTACTGCAATAGCGAGTAGCACCTTTGAAGGCCGGCGCGGCACATGAGGGGGTGGGTGGCCAGCACCACGCCCGGCCGCCTGCACCCCCTCCCCCACCGCCACCACCCTACCCCCCTGACCACCCCCAAACCATCCCCCATGCACCCCCATTCACTCTCCTAACCGCACTCCCACCGCTCCCCCCGCCCCCCGCGCCGCGCGCCGCTGTCCCTGGGTGACGGGAAGGAAGTCATCTTTGCTTTCTCACGCTCGCTCTGTTTGTCTCGCGTGTGTTTGTTTGTTTATAGCCAGCGTGAGTGTGTGTGTGCGCGTGTGTGAGTTTGTGTGGGTGCTGGTCACCCACCCACCCCCTCGTGTGCCGTGACGGCCTTCACAGGTGCTCGCAAACAGCACTTGCCCCTAAAGCCTGTTAAGGCTATACTGGGGATCTTTGTGTTTGTGTGCGTGCGTGTGTGAGCATGCGAGCGTGTGGGGGATCTTTGTGTGTGTGAGAGAGAACATGTACGCGTGTATGTGCGTGTGCGTTGTCTTTGTGCGTGTGAGATCTTTGTTGTGTCGTGAACGAATGTGTGTGTGAGTCGGAGAGTGAGTTGGTGGATGAGCGAGTTTGCGTGTGTGAGTACGTGAGTAGGTGCGTGAATGTGTGCCTGCATGTGTGAGAGATAGTGCGTCTGAGTGAATGAGTGGGTGAGTGTGAGTTCGTGAGTGCGCGTGTGCGTGGGTGTCTGACGAGTGAGTAGGTGAGTGTGTGCGTGAGTGGGTGGGTGAGTGGTGTGTAACGAACGTGTTAGTGAGTTCGTATGTGAATGAGTGGGTGACAAGTGAGTGAGTATGGGCGACTCATCCATCAATCTTAACTCTGACTACAACACTCCTCCCCCGACCGCCCTCCCCCACCCCCCTTGGAGCACCCTTCAACTGCAGTCACGCTCCGTCTCACGCCTGTTGACACAGCCTCCTCCTCCTCCTCGAAAGCTCCACCCGCCACGCACCACCAAGCGGGGTTACGGGCAGGTGACTGGCCCTGGAAGTCAACACGTCTACTTGGGCCTCGCTCTGCTGATGAGACGCTGAATATCGAAACCGCTCCAGCGTTTACTTGCGCTGAACCAAATGCTCCTAAAATTGTGTGGCTGATGGGGTGTGTAAAGCAATACTTTATACATATTCATAGACGGACAGGTATATGAAGGGTACGTATCGTCTGCCTATTCCTTTATTTTTTTGTATTCTCCACAACGACACGAATTATTATAGTCAAAATAATTATCATTAGACCTCTTTTGCCAGTTCCAAAATATAAT